AATGTCCAGCCAAGGACATTCCCGACATGTCGGTACAAATGACGCATAGTCAAACCTTGAAGTCTAACCACTGACCACTGAATACCACTGACCCTTGATTTCTACCTTGGCTTCGCCCAGTCCGGTTGATGTGAGCCATGTTCGCGTGAGCCAAGCACCTGCTGGGTCCCAATTGCGGACGAGATGTGTGACGTTTCACCGTTCGATATAGAAAACCATGTGAAACATGGAGTGCTAGCAGATGATCTGGAGGTCCTTTGGAAAGGCTTTCGACTTGAATGACTTCATGCCTGGCCATGTGAGGAAAGTACGACGTTTCGTTTTGTGAATGGTAAGATTGGTTTGAGTGGTCCATAGTCTGTATTATCTCATTCTCCAGCTTGAGGGTTCACATCTACTAATCTACTATAACATCTAACACAGGACGATTTGCTTTTCAAGAGCTGTTCAACACATTGTACAAAGTTGGATTTTGCAGATTCTCATGATTGATCACCCCTGATGCTAGTCGTCACCCTAGCTGTGCTTCAATTCACTTGGCCGGCGCAATACAAAAGCCATAACAATGTCATGGTTTGTGCCTTTCGTTGGGGTTTAATGAGATTTTGTGTGTGTGTGTGTCGCGTTTCAACTAGCAGTTGGCAAGGCGCTGTCAATTGTCAGCGGAGCGGAATCATTCCATTCAGCAGATTCACACCCAAGACTCCAAGACTCATGGTTGGTGAGTTGGTTTTCCCTGCGGTTTGTTCTTCGGTTCTTCACGATGTCTCATCCAATACGACGTGCCGGGGTGAACCACTCAGAGCTGTTGCCTGAAGGCTCTCCATCGCTTGGCTTGGTCAAACACCGCCGGCCGAGAGGAGATGGTCTGAAGGTGCTTTGGATCTCAAAGACTCGTTTCTGATGGAAGAAAAAGAGGCTGCCCCGGTTGAAACGGGGTGACAAAGGTGGCTAATTCGACAGAAACCGTCCAAAACGCACATGGCGTCGGACGCACATGCATGAGATGGACTCGTTTCAGCCCGTGAGCTGATTGACCAAACCATTGGTTCAACATCGTCACGGCATGACCTCAACCTATGTTGAGGGCTTCTTCGGGATGATGTTGACGTGTTCTGAACGCGACACCTTTTGATGCGCTTCCTGCAGGTTGTTTGAACGAACCCCACTCAAGATCAGCTTCAACTCGTCGCTGATTCGGCCCAGCGGGCCTATATAGCGTGTCCGGCCTCCCACCGAGTCTGGGTGAAGGAAGCCATTCTACACCTTGAAGCCTTACCCTGGGAGTTTTGCGTGAGAGCTCTGAGATCTGATTTCAGATCCTTTGTAAGTCAGCAAAATCACCTCCGAAGCTTCAACTGTTCCAACCCGACACCTGTTCCAACGTCCATGACTCATGTCATGGACTTATGCGACAAGTCCAGAATGTGAAAGGTATGTGAGGCTGGGCGGAGGTGCATATACGTCCAAAATTCCCAGCCAGAATTCCATGTTCCAAAAGCTTTGGACTCACTATATAGAGCTGTGTGGCATGGCTTCTCCATCGCTTCGTCGTTTCGTCGCCGCGCACCTCATGTGGCTCAACCAGTTCCAGGGGACTCCTCCATAGAGCACGATCCAGGTGGCGGAGGGGGGAAGAGGAGACAGGGGGAGACACGGATGACTTCGTGGATTGGTGACTACAACGAATCTCGGCGCTTTGAGCCCTCAAAAGGTGAATTCAGATGTCATTTTTGAGTTACCACCCAGAAGCTGGGGGCCGAGCGCAATGCGGAAAAACCATCGTTACAGTGTTGGAAAGGCGGTCGTATGGCGATGTATGGCGTTATGGCAGCTCCCATCCAGGAGCGTTCTTCACTCCTTGCTTTCGCCGCCTCGCTGTTCAGCAGCACGGAGAAAAACGGAAACCCGGAGCGAACGTCGCTGAGGCGAGCGATCGTGAGACAACATGGCCGGTGGCTGCGCGACCTTCTGTGTACCTGGGCTGAAGAGGGATGACCGGATGACCAGATAAGGTCGTAAAAGGGTCTGATCGATTCATGGAATCAAGGCGTGGATCATAGAATGTTGCTTTCAATCTATATAGTTGGTCTTGGTGATAGATATCCTCGTTTTGGTCTATCTTTGCATAGATTCACGGCTTTGATCACTCAAAACATGGTTAAACAGCGTTTCTCTTTGACAACACGCCATCTCAACTTCTGGAATAGCTTGGCATACGCCATACGCCCTCTAAATCTCCTTACACTTGGCGTTTGTCCACCCTTCCATGTTCTAGGCCGTTCCAAAGTGACCCTTAAAACTGGTGTTCCAAAGTAACTCTCCAACCATCCTTACAAAGGCAGCCCAGCCCAGCCGATGAGATCAAGTGGCGCCTGCCGTGGCGTGCCCAGACCATCCTCTCAGCGGTGGCCGTGCCGGTCTTGATCTTCTTCGGACTGCTTTGTTCTTCTGGGCACGGGACGCCCGGATCCGCCACCGTGGCTTCCGGATCCAACATCTCGAACCGTAAGCCCCTTAGGATGCCAAGAAGAAGGGGCAACGATTCCTTAAAGGCATTTAAAGGCTGAGATGAGTTGCATTTCTATATTTAACTTTATATGTGTTCAGTGCTTAACAACTTAACATTGTGTTGTTTTTCCTGTTTGTGGTTGTTCATGGTGTGCATAGTGAAAAGAGATGAAAGAGATGGCCCGCAAGTGCATCTTTGCCTTGGATGAGCATGTTCCGGATGGATCAACTTGTCCGGATGTCCAATCTTCAGGGAGCTGGGAAGTGGCAATAGGTTTTTTGTTTTTGGCCGCCCCTTCTTCGGTAGATGCCTGCCTGGATGCCTTGCTTCCTTCATCGCATCGATCGGTGTTTCTTCATGGCGCACCGATCGCGGCGAGGTCTCCGATGATGGAAATCCCTGAGGTGCCTTCGGTGTGGCGCCGTTGATGGGGTCGCTGGGCGGTTCTTTGGGAGAGGCATGGGCTGCATGGGCTGCTTCAGGCGAAGAAGCCGGAGGCAGGCATGGGCTGCTTCATGGCTGCAGCCTTGTATGCCTGGCACCCCAGAGATGAGTGTGTGATGCTGTGTGGGTGTATGGGTGTGGGCTGCAAGAGGGGCAAATGCAGTGTCTTATTGAAAGTATGTTTGGCAAAACGGCTATATCTATCCTGACAAGGTCACCCATCCTATGGTCCTATGGTGACCTTCGAGACCTCTCCCCTTGGAGTTTCCAGCTCCGTCCGTGAAGTGCCTGACTGGACGCCTTTGAGGCTGCCACTGGACTGTTCGCCTTCCAGGCCGGGGCTCGGGACGAACCACCGAGCGACGTTCGGGACGCGCCGGGCGCAGGAAAAGGAGAGTCGCCAGGATGTGTGCGCCAGGAGGTTTCTACACAGGGGCACTGAATAGCATTATTATGTTACTAGCCCCTTGACCTTGCCAATCATCCTCGGCGGCATGTGGAAATCCGGGAGGACGGAACTTCGCGCACCCATCCTGGGCTAAAGCAGGGTCTTATGATGTCTCATAATGTATTTTGTTGGATCAGATTCATTAGCCTGAAGGAGGCCTATTATTCCTCCCAATTCGATGGCTCTGTCATCCGAGCGCCGCTTGCCATCACATCGAAAGCACAGAGTCGCGTCCTGCCTCCTCCGTCGCGTGAGAGGCAATGTCGAAGAGCTGAAGAGACGCGAGCGCGAACGCAGCCATCGGACAGAGTGAGAGTTGAAGCTCGGGGAGGAGGTTTTGACACATTGTCCACGTGCCAAAAACAAGATGAGCTCGAATGCGGCCTCGTGTGGTGGCAGCACGTTGCATGCTACTTCGATGAGCATGCCAGGTTATTGAAGTGGGTGATGGTTACTGTCAACTGTAGCCACTCCCACAGTGAAAATCCATCAACATGTTGTCAAGTGCAATGGTCACTGCGATTGAGGAGCGAACAGTTATGTATAGCTTCGGCTTGTTATGAGCTGGGCACGGTTTGATTTACAAGGTTTAAACGGCAAGAGCTCACCGACATCTCTCATGTTCCGATTCTGACACGAGCATTTGGGATTACATGGTCAACCAATTTATGCCATCGCCATGCGAGTACCACTCAGATTTGTTCGCCTCAATGCAGAGGTAGCATTTCGTTTTGATGGATGTGTTCTGTTATGTTCTGTCATGTTCTGCTGTATGTTCTGCTCCCTTTTGAAGGACCTTTGGGAGCTGATTTTGGGGGTTGACCCGTTTGACCCGTTTGCTCCGTTCCTGTCAGCTAGGGGTTTGGGGATCGCGGTACTGGACAGCGGACCCCGCCATCGTTGGCTTCGCCGGTGCAGCTTCTCAAGGGCACAGAAAAGGCCATGCTTGGCATGATGTGCCAGAAATGGCATGAACGCCCAATGAATCAGTTTGGGGTCACAACTCTAAATCTCAGATATGATCCTGGGCAAAGATTTAACTACCAGGAGTCACAAAGGGGTGGTGTTTAGTCCCTAAGTGAGTGGATAATGGGCACCCCTACCCTCCATTAAGCACCCCTTTGTGACCAATCGAAGCCCCAGTGAACTGGCCAACAAAGAGGGAAGACCGATCAGAGGGGCTAACTTGCGCCAAAACTGAAGGCGAACATGCCAAGAAACGCCTGGTGCAACCCTAGAGCTTGAAGGACATGGAATGAATCATGCCGAATCCAACACTGCGGAACATAAAACTGATTCTCAGTGTCCTTTCCAAACAAGAGGCTCATGCCTTTGAACTTTGACCTCTCTAAAGTCGACTGAACAGCCTCCCAAACCAGTGCGTCTCATCAGAGTCATGAGATTCCAACTAAATCAACTGCACAATGACAGTTTGTTTTTCTATGTTCACGATGATCCTATTTGGTTCATCAACATGGAATATCTACCAGGACCTGACTTCACAGGTCACCACCTACGACTTTGATGTTTACAAAAGCCTCTGCGGAGAACTCTTGGAAGGTGCTGGTAAAGGACCTCTTTACTTCTTTAAACATCCCATGCCTTTGGGCACCCACCGATGTTTCTTGCCTCGGCCGTGCGCGTGCTGCGCGCGGGCGTCCCCGCGCGCTTGCACGGCGCCGGTGCCGTTCACGGCGGCGGCGGCAGTAGCGCCCAGCGCCGGTGGACCAGCTCAGTGGTGCGGCGGCGGCGGAGGGCCTACTACAAGGTGGAAAGGGAGGAAGAGGATGAGGGCATGAGGATAGCAAGGAAAAGGTGAAGAAGGGTGAAGCAAGAAGAGGAGGGGGAGAGTTGGAGAGGAGAGCATTTCATGTTGGAACTGTTTTTTTGGTTCCCACAAGGAATGAAGTGTGTGATGAAAACGGTGTTTTAGGTGGGAAGGGTATAGACTTTGCAATCTTAGCAGTGGTTTCAGAGTAGATGGCACAAGCTATACATGTCTTTCAGATGGGGGTGAACCAGCCACCTGACGCCAGTCATCTACTCTCCACTGTAGGTCAATCTTGCCAGGCCTTCACCTACCTGAAACTGCGCCACCGGCGGTCACGCTTCGTGTCCGGCGAGGCCATGGCAGATCCCACGACATCGCCAGTGAAGCTGCAACGCTTGAGGGAGAGGGCCGCCAGGCCACAGTACGAGCTGCTCAGAAGCTTTGCCGACCTGCTGGGGAGGTCCTGGTAGGTGCTTAGGTGCTCTGGGGAGGTTCTGCTTCAGAACCTGCGGAGGTTTTGAGGTTCTGGTCCTTGAGGGCTCCGACTGCATCAGTTCTGAAGGGATGTGCTTGGATCCTGCATGCGGGCCCCACCCGCAAGCATCCTAGTAACTAGTAGGGCGACTCACAAGAGCAACCTGCAGTCTAAGATTGACCAAAGTGATTTGGAAAGAAACTGGTTTCGCGCAGGTTGAGGGCTTCCTCGATTCTACAATATTCCGGCCATGTACTGGGCCATGTACTCAATCCTTCAAACCAGGAGGGGTTGATTGTTGTGGTATGGTGATTGACAAGAACTTGAACGCACACGGCTGGCAGCGGTCCACTTGAAGTTGTTGCATTCCATGTCCTTTCTGTGACATGCCCTGGTCCTGGATGCAGTCGACCGACTCGTCCTACCGAGTGGGGACGCATCGGTCGCCACCCGAGGATATCTGGCCGAGACCAAAGTGGCTCGCGTTCAGACGCAGGAGGATCGACCCTTGGAATGCCGGCCAGCGGCGGGCGGCGAGGAAAGCGGCTCGCGGAGTGGGGTTCTGGCGGTTCTTCACGCCTTCAGGACACGTGTGCATCATCTATAGCTTTTGCTCAGGAGGGAGCGATTCGGAGCCAGGGGCATCCATATTCCCCATTCAACAGGAGGAGCTACAAGGAGTTCCCCAACCCCTTACTAGTCATAGTTTTGTGTTGTTTCTTCACTCGGAAACTGTTGAGTGGCACGTAGTAGTTTGTAAGTGGTGCCTGGGTAGGGCGGGTAGGGGGCTGAACTCATTCACTTTGAAACAGGACGACTATAGGTATCAGGTAGAGGTTGTTGTTAGTTGTGCGGCTGGCCTTGCCAGTGATGTCCGATCACCCAAACCTTGGTGGGCCACGTTTCGCCAAATCTTCATTCGCACGGTTTCCCATGATATCATGTTAAGTTCGATCCCCAAATATCCATTGTCGGTCGTTCTAAATGTTCCTTCCGGGAAGCCAACTCGAAGATGAAGACACGAACCGGTTACAGTGGAGCTCTCGCAGCCCATAAATCCAGCCCCCTGGAGTTGTTTTTTCACCGCCGGCACGTGTCCCGGAACTGCAACGTACCCAACCGACAGCCACCCGGCCGAGGAAAGAAGCTTTGGTATGACTTGAGGCACGTGTGGACCTTCTTGGGGATGCGGATGCCATCTCACAGGGTGTCCAATCAAAACCAAGGTCTCCCCCCTCACAAGATATGCATTCTCCACCTTTTGCGCTGCAAATCTCGTGACAACCATCCCAAAAAGAACTGAAGATTCATCACCTCCCTTCCCTTGCCGACACCGACATCGGCTCTTTTCGCTCACTTTGAACCAGAAAAGGCAACCTCTGACAGCCAGGTACAACCGCTACGCTCCACTCTTCTTGAACCAGTGCCATGGCCGCGCTAGAAGCGCGTGGTGTTCGTTGGGCGATCTGAGCGGTATCGGTATAGCTGATCCCACCTTCACAGACTAATATGGACCTTGAGAATTGGCCCATGGAAGGCCATGGAAGGCCAACCATTTTCCTCTAGAACCCAGTGGTTTTCGGGTTCCATCTTAATCTGCAAGGCAGTAGTGGTTGACGACCGCCAATGGATCCAGCCTATTGCACGAGAGAGTCCTCCACACTTCTTATTGCTTCTTGGTTTTTGCACATGGTCCAATTCCAGTTCTGCTAAGCAGGCTCATCTCAAGAACAGAACAAGGTGACAATCAACAGGCTCATCCTAAGCAGGCTCATCCCATGACGAACACTGAACACCATTTTGTTGCATTTCACATTCGTGTCACCCCCCGCAGACAGACCACATGGGACCCTCTACCACTTCACCCCTGGAAGACCAACACGACGTGGTATAGACATCGTTAGCAGACACCAAGGGGTATAGTTCGCTCATCCATTTTACCCCCCTTGGCTATACCCCTTGGTTTTTGCTAACTTACATGCCCTGCTCTAGAGCCCATTTTAACCCAAACCAACCGCTTATTTAAGAACACCCTATCATTACCCACCCACACCAAAGCGCCGCAGCCAAACCGAGGATCAAGCCCCGCATGAAGCTCTGGGCCGCCGCGCTCCACGAGTCGCAGCTGCCCCTGGCGCGCTTGCCGGAGATCGCCATGTGCGGCCGGTCCAACAGCGGGAAGTCCACACTCGCCGCACGGAGGAAGTCATGTTGGGTGGGTGGTATGTGTGGGTGGGTGGTGTGGTGGGTGGGTGGTGTGTTTGGGGAGCGTTTTGGGAGTGTTGTTGGATTTGATCTACGAGCTTTCAAAGGGTGATCTTTTGAGATAGGCTGCGAAGAGTTTGGGGAATTGTCCCACTGTTCAATGTGGTTGGGAAAGCTTGAGCCAATGCTAGGGGAAGCATCACTTGACATGGTCAGGCCGCTTCTTTTGATCCAAGATTGCAAAGTTGCACTGGATGGAGATTTGTCACGTTTCCTCCACGGGGGCCCGGAGAACCTGACCACCAGGTCCGCTTCGGACCCAGGTGAACTACCTTTGTGGCGACCCGGCTGCAGCCAGCACTGGATGCGACGGCCGGCGGATGCCAGCACCTTCGTGGACAGCGGGCATGGTGGAGGAGAATTCTCCATTTGCACCCTTTGGATGGATCTTCTCATCTATCCAGTCTATCCAGTCATCCCAAAAGAGACAGGAATGGATTTCAAGATCGTTTCAAAGGGAGTTCACTTCAGATTCTTCGATCACTTTGCGATCGTTCTGCATTTGGGGGACACCACGGTCAGTACCCACCAGCTGCACCGAGGTCAGTACTGCGCGAGCATGCGACGAGCGCCCGGGAGCACCACCGCCCCTCGATCCAGGGAGTAGCGAGTTGCTCAGTTCAGATGTTCAGGTGAGGTTTGGCTACGGCTACAGGAGTGATGATTCATCTCAGTGAGCGGATTGATGTCCAAAGAAACTGGATCTTGAATGATCCAAGCAAACTTCCAAACCAGTTCCATGTCGGGGTACTATCGGAGGCTAGGGTGACATCCAGTGCCCTTGTCACATCCACTCACTGGATGGGACTAAACACCACCACTCCTCGGAAGGTCTTGATGGCTGTTTCGAGGTTAGAACCCTGTGAGTATAGTAGAAAAAGGTTGAGTTCCGAAAGCCACTGCATAGGGCATCCTCCTTGGCAACGTCCACCAATTCCAGAGTAGACCTGACAACGTCACTTCCAAGAAAACCCTCTTGACTCTTTGCAGGATACGATCCATTCATGAGCACCGCACCAGCTCCTGCAGACAACTTGTCTTTTGCACCGCGTTCCGATCTCCACAAAGTCCGATCGATCTTATAACAGACTCCCAACCAACCCCAGCTCCTCTCCACTCGATGCACCAGATCCATCCAACTTCGCTCAGCTCAGCTGCCTTGCCACCTCGCCACCCTCAGGAGCTCTACTTCTGGAAGGTGGGTCGCCCCGCTCAGCTCTGCTTGGTAGACCTGCCGGGCTACGGCTTCGCCGAGGCGCCCGACGAGAAGCGGCTCCAGTGGACCGAGCGTCGCGGTTGCGCAGCGGAGCGCGGTGCGCGGTGCGCGGCGGAGCTGGGAAGACGGACTCGGCTGGAGAGACTCGGGGTGGAGAGACTGGGTGGAGACTGGGTGGAGACTGGGCAGACTGACTGGGAGGAGAGAGTGGGGAGAGACTGGGTGGAGAGACTAGGTAGAGAGACTGGGTGGAGTGGGTGGGTTGGTCTCCTGTTGGGACCGGTAAGGAGAGACTGGATGATTGGATGGAAAAGGGTGACAAGAGATGGTTCATTAGTGCATCGACAATTTGGTATTGATGCGCACTGTTTGGAAAGTTCAATGTCGACTTCCATTCAATTTCTCGCAGTTGAACTTCCAAGTTGACTCCGTTGAACTGAGGTTCACGCTGTGGTACATCCGCGCGAGAAAGAACCTCAAACGCGTCCTGCTCTTGATCGATGGAAGGAGCGGGATCGGCGTGCTGGCGGAGGGCATTGTCGCAAAGACTTGGCTGACCTTTCAACTGGCGGTTTCAATTGGTTTCAACATGTCTTAAATTGATGGGCTCTTGATGTTGCAGGTCGGTATACATATTAGGATAGCTTAATCACGTCTGCAATACATATCAGTACTACGTAGTACAGGATGGATTCGTCCTGCCCAGCACCTTGCGAGTGAGGCACCGCCAACTTGGCGCTCCTTCGGCTCCGTTCCGGGGCTCCGTTCCGGGAGCAGCCTCCAGATCCACTCCCTACACGTGCCATTCAACGCGTCACGTCAATAATAAGATATATTGTAAGAAAGTCTCATGTCAAAGCAAGGGCACCTTCTCTATCCTTCCCTTCCGCCTTTCGACCGACAGATGCACCGATGCACCGATGGAACCTCATCCGATCGCCCCACCGCTTCCGGCCAGGCAAGGCATCAAGCCGGCGGATCGGGAGATGATCAGTGGCTCGATCGCATGCCTCGGTGGTCGGTTGTGAGACGGGCCCCTTTTCCACAGGTACGAGGAGGTACTTCCGGAGGTACCAGATGATTGGAGAAGCTTCTCAGTTGGTAGGTGGATGGATGGCTGGCAGGGGATTGAATCGCGTCGAACCTGGAACGACACATCAATCTCCAGCTGCGGGATCCACCGAACGTCAGTTGTTTTAAAACCTCTTTGGAAGGTCACTTTGCTGTTGTAAGAGTTTTGCCACCCCTTGTGGTGGGCGTTGTGACATGAAATGGGTCCTTGTGTGATTGCGTGAGTATTACAACGTGACAAGCAAAAGGTCGATCTATATGGATGGTAGCTCACATTTTCTCCTTCTTTCGTCCGGCATGAAGGGTCTTCCTGCGCTGCCCTGCTCTCTGAGCCGCCGAGGCTACTTGGAGCGACACAACGTCCCCTGGCAGATCATCGTGACCAAGAGTGACAAGGTGCACTGCACCTACGTCTTTTGGGGTTCACTTTGAGGTTGTTTCATGAGCCCAGATGTTGCTCAAAGCATGAGTCCTCCTTTGTGATAGATCTTGGGCAAAATCGAGCTGAAAACTTGAAATCTGTTGTTTCGGTGGGGGCACTTTGCTTTCTTGAGGTCGTTTTGGTGTAGAGTAAGTAACACCTGTCATTTATTGAACTCTGAGACTGGCAGTCCATGCGTGTCCATGCGTGTCACGTGTTTAGAGGTTGCAGCCTCGTTCTTGTGGGTCCTTTCTCATCTTTCTCCCAGTTCTGCTATAGTTCTTGTGGGTCCTTAGAAAACACCATCTTTTCTCAGGTTTCCAAGCTTGCCACACCTTCACATCAGTTCTAGGGCGACAGGAGTCTTCTCTGGTTTCCATGAAGAGCCTTCTCGTCATTTGCAGGTGCCAGGAAAGACCTTGGCCAAGCGGATCACCATCATGAAGGACCGCGCTTCAATTGGTGTGCCAGTCGCGGGCCACGCCGTTCGAGTGCGGAAGAAAGACGAGTCTCTTCAACTCCGCTTCAGCCTCCAGCATTGGTCAGTCGAATTCGGCATGGAGCTGCCGTTTGCGGCGGCTGGTTCATGAAGAAATCTGAACCTACACAACATTTCGGCTTGGAGCGTGATGTTGCCGGAGCCCTTTAAGACGGCTTAATCCATTGCTGTGCTCGCCTCGTCGTACAAGTCAAGTGCCCAAGAACAGTTTGCTACATCACACCTGATACATCCATCAATGATTACAGGACCCCTGGACTTGACACCATGCTTCACATCCTCAAAAAACCAAAGAACTCTCACCATCTCTCACTCCCAAAACGATCTCCCTGGCACGAAGACAGAGGTGCCTGCTCTTGCTTTTAGTTCGTTGGTGTTCCCTCGCAGCCAAGTTCCGTTCGTTGGTGTTCTCTCCTCCGCACCGGGTCACAAACCCCGAACGTCACAGGAGGACCTCTCGCAGTTCCGCAAGATGGTCCGGGAGCCCATCCCCGTGGCCGCCGTGAAGCGCCGGGGCCTGGAGACCCTGCCGCTCCGGCCGCAGATCGAGCGGGGCGGTTGGTCGGTTGGTTGGAGGGAGCGGTGGAGGTCGGTCTCGAGGGGCGGTGATGGTGTTTTGCCAGGTTTGGGGTGTGCTTTTTGGAATTGGTGTTTGGAAGTCAATTTGTGCTTGGATGTTTTTTTTTTTTTTTTTCGGAGGGGTGCGTTGTTGGAATCGGTTTTGCAGTGACTGTATTTGTTTGTTTGTCTTTTTGGTGGGGAGAGTTCCAGGCACGCTGAAGTGTTCCATCCTCGCCCCAGGAGAGAAATCCTCACAGAGCTGAAGGTGGCCAAGGACAGACACCCACAAATGCTGCGTGCGCGGCTAGACGAGATGCAGAGACAATCATGGTGGCAATGTTTGCATGTGACTTGCATCATCAAATGCATTCAAAGGCCAATAAACTAAAAGGATAAAAGGTGTTTTTGTTAACAAAAAATGTTGATTGGGCATTCGGCAGGCCTTGAGTGGCATTGGTTTGGAAAGGAAAAATCATGTTGGTGCCTGTAGTGTGTGATTTTGTCAAAGAAGGGGGGCAGAAACATGATGTTTGCTTTAGAAGCATTATCTAAAAGCCAATGTCCAAATCCCTCACAGGTCCATTTCACACTGGATGCATTCAGTCATGCTGTGGGTTTGCTTGCCCATTTTAGTGCTGGCTCACCTTGGTCATAGATTCCACATGATCACACAGATGTTGAGTAGAGTAGACCCTACATGAACCCGACCAAATCCTCTTAGAGGTCCATGGTGGCCGCTCCACCAAGCTTCACTCCGTTGCCCCTGGAGGAGGTCGTCAAGGACGGCATCCGCACCATGGTCTACGACCTGCTCGAGCAGCGAAGGGTGCGCAACCGCGCGAAGCGGCAGCGGCGCAAGGAGACGGCCGAGGGGGGGCGGCGTTTAGAAGCGGGGGGTGGGGAGTGCCTCCGACGTTGATTGGAAGTTGTACAAGTTGGCCTGAAGGATGTTCCCCGTGTGCGCCCATGTGTTTGATGTATATAGTTGACAACTGCACAAGGATCGTCGTTGGACAGAAATCTCAGCGCAATTCAGGAAAGACTACTATCCAGATTCACAGCAGGAACATACGTGACACAACCTGCCAATTCCAATGGGTGTGATGCTCTTACTTTACAGCCCTACTCGGATGTCTAGCCTGGTTGTTGTTGAAGAAGAAATTAGATGTGACACATGCAGCCAGAATGACAGATCCTATAAGACTTCCCAAAGACCTTGCTGAAACGTGTTTCGGTTTGGCAGTCCTCCACTGTATACAAATCCCACGTATAGTCACAAGCACTTACACCGATATACCCGTTGTTTTGTTGTGATTTTGTGTCCTCATGGTGAAGGGGATCTCCCCGTGCCGCTAATGTTGCCAGGACCGCAAGGAAGCCCTCAAGGCTGAACTGGAGACTAAGGAGTCTGAGACGAAGGAATCCGAGCGAGCAGAGTCAGACGCCGAGGCAGGTGGCTGCTTTGGGATGCGGAATAGGTCATCGTGAGTGTCACGGTGTGTTTTTTGCTTTTGGTTATCCAGCTGGGTGTGCCCAAGGGGATCGGAGGATGTTTGAACCCATTTTAATGCCTGAATCATATTTGATTCACAGAAATTGGCTACCTTTGAGACGGTTCCTTCTGGGATAGGAATCCGAATGCATCGCTGGTCTGAAGCAGTGGATGAGTGCGGATGTAGCTGAGCTGCTTGTGATCATGTTCGGATGGCTGCAGCCCACACCATACAATATAGGACAGCCAGGTGGTCTTTGGACAATGGGAATCGAGAGAACCCATAACTCAAATGAAGTAGAACTTCCCAACCTGAGCCTTGTTGACCAAACACTTGCCCTCTATAGTAATTTCAGCCACATGTTGATACAGGTGTGAGCTTCCTGAAAGCCTCCAATTGATCATCAACATTTGGTTTGTGACATCACCAGCCCTTTTTTGGGCGCAAAGGGAAGAAGCCAAGCAGATCCTCGCGGTGCTTTCGAGCGGACACCCGCCCTCCAGGCCACGAACCTTCACGAGATCTTGAACTCCTGGGGACCCGGGCAGACGCCGAAGGCGGCCGAGGCGCACTGGGCTGGATGCAAAGAGGTCCTAATTCTAGATTCTTGATTAAGAGCACCCCGCAGACATGGATTGAAACATCCTCTTCAATCCTCCTTTTCATATATAGGGTTGAAATATCTGTATTTGCACGATTGTACACCTGTACATACCATATTGACCTCTATGTTTGGCTCAAGAAAAGGGCGCTCTACATGTTGGTACTTGTAGGCTGTTGGCCTGTAAATCCAGGTTATCAGCCGTATCGCCAAAGAGCGGTACGCGCCATTCTAGCTGTGTCACCTACCCACCCTCGTTCTGCGCACACGTGAGGTGGCATGGCGGACAGGCCCTTCGAACCAATTCGAGATGGCACGGATCGATCGAGGTCAAGAGTCGGTGATGCCGATGAGAATGGGTCATATGTACAGACGGAAGTCTTCACCTCAGAGCATGATGAGGATGCATTGGTTGAAGCACATGGGAACGTGTTGCCACCAGCTACATCGACTGGTGCGATTATCCTGTCTCCCACGAGCCCTGCCTTTGTTCCGTCGAGTACATACAATGATTCGAGACAAGTCATTAACCAAACGGCGAACTTCCACGATCAAAGAATGATCAACGTCAACCTGGACAAGTCCGCTGAAGTCGCACAACTTGCAGAAGCGCGACACAGGGAACTGATGTCCAAGAAAGATGAAGAAGTGAAAAAGACAGTGGAAGCCATTCACCGAGAGGCACACGACCATGTCAAGGAGCAACTCGAGTTACAAGAACGAAGAGCTGCATCTTGGGCTGCAAACGAGCAAGCTAAGATGAATGCACATGAAGCAGTCATCAAGAATGCTGCGTTGACTGAAGCTCAACTATACAACCACAACTTGACAGAATTACAACAACAAGCGCAGAGTCGTGAATCGCAGCTGAGGGAAGAGTTGAGAACACAAACAGAGCTCATTAGAGAACTTCGAGAGAAAATGGAAACATCCGCTCGAGGGAACTATGAGCCTGCTGGAACACCGGCTAACCTCAGGACAACTCTTCCAGGTCCGATGGGTTCAAACGAGCTACCTCTTGGTCAACCATATCGACCAATGCAGAAATCAATGACTGATAGTTCGGGCGGACCCTACCGTGAAGCTCTTGCAAGTGGAGCGGTTAATGCTCCGAAAGTAGCTGGAGGTGGTCCTCCTGATCATCCCAGTTCATCAAGTTCGTCTTCATCCGATGACAAGAAGAAGAGCAAGAAAGACAAAAAGAAGAAGAAGAAAGATGACAAGGAAGAGAAGCGTGGCAGATCACCCCGCAAAAAGAACAAAAAGAAAAACAAAAAGGGGTCACCGTCACCGTCCGAGTCACCTTCATCGTCGAGCTCGTCTTCTGAGGATTCATCCTTTGCCCGTAAGGTTAGGAAACATTTGAAGAAGATGAAGAAAGAGGATCGTGAACAGAGGGCCAAAGAGGCTGAAAAGATCCTCATTCCCAAGTTTCCTACACCCGAAAGGTATAGAGATTGGCGAATTAAAGTTCGGGACAATGTGTCAGCGGCGTCCGCTAAGCCGGACAAGGCCAGGTTATGGCTAGGTAAGGTTTATGAAGACGCCGTGACTACTAAGGACCTGGATGACTCCGAGGGTTTCATCACGCTGGATGCAAAACTTCTTTCAAGTCTCACGAACTGTGCGGAGGGGGACCTCGCTCGCCAACTGAACACGTTTAAAGAGACAAAAGAGAAAGCAAAGGAACCAATTAAGGGACGGCAAATTCTACTGTTGTTCCATGAGTACTTTGCTACATCCATCAAACACGGTGCTATTTACGATGTTGAAGATCTTATAAGTGTTAAGATGGTGAACGAGGACCTGAAAGGTTTTGTTACGCGATGGGAGTCTGTTATCGCGGGGATGCGAACGGAAGTTGACAAGAAATGGCTTGAGGCATATTTCCATCTTGCAGTGAAGAACTTTAAGCCTTTAGCTCATGATCTTGCCATCTACGAACGCGCCTCGGAAGGGAGTGCCGAAAAGACTTACGACTTTTTGATCAAGTCAGCCAAGGCATACCTTGAAAGGAAACGTTTGGAAAAGATGAGGGATGCCACGAAGCGTAGTCTTGGAGGTAAAGACCCTGCAGCTCCTGTCATTGACCCAAGTGACAAAAAGCCGAAAGGTGTTTGCTATGAGTTTCAGAACAAAGGAAAGTGCAGTAGGCGCGACTGCCCATTCAAGCATGAGAAACCCCGTGAATCCAGCAAAGGGAGGCCCAAAGGTGGTGGAAAGGGTAGATCTTCTTCTTCACGTGGAAGGTCGTTGACTCCGGGATCAAGATCGGAAGTTTGCAAGTTTTGGAAATCTGGTGACTGTCACCGGGGAAAGAATTGTGCTTTCAAACATCCCGATCGTTCTTCAACACCCGCACCAAGTGACGACCGGAAGAAACGAAAGAAGAAGAAGAAGGAGAAAAGAGAGAAGAAGAAACGAAGTACTTCTCGTGGCTCCAACGGTTCTGGCGGTAGTCAGAAATCCAAAGGTGGGAAAGGTGCTCCTTCTAACCCAGCCGCTGTTTGCCTGCTGCGCACTCTGGTCTTAGCTACTGCGGTCTCATCATCACAGTCTGCTACCATCAGATGCCCGTTGGAAAGCGTGGCCATGGTTGCTACACCTGCCACCAGTTCTTCCCCATCATCTTCGTCAGGACGGGGAAAAGTGAAACGTCTTTCTTTTGCTGACAAACCAGAAGTTTTTAAACACGTGGTTCATTGCAATTCTTTAATGTTTCCAGTTGTTGCGCGAAAACAAAGAAAGCATGTCAGTTTCCCAATAGGCCACAAAGGAAACGCTGAAGTTTTGGAAATGGCATCTGAAGATGCATGCATTGCAGCAGACCGTTTGAGCAGAGCTGTTTCAAACGAGTTGAATGGCATCGAGGCACGATGTTGCTATCTTTGCGATTCGGAAATGGGATGCAAGCATTGTTTTAGGAATCAACGGGTCACAATGCCTGCGACCGAGATCGCATGGATTGCAGATACTGGCAGTGCGAATGATTTGGTGTCTAGGGAAATGGTCAATCGCAACGAAGTGTTCGAATCCTCGAAACCGGTTAGTCTTCTTACAGCTAACGGAGTGTTCCAGGCTAATGATCAGGCTAATCTTGATATTCCCTTGTTGGGAATCACTGCAAAACCATATGTACTTGATGATAGTCCGGCAGTGATATCCGTGGGACAATTATGTATTGATCATGATTGGTCGTTCATTTGGCCGTCAAATGACACACCATACTTCAAAAAGCCAAATGGGCAGAGGATCAAGCTTCAAGTGAAGGACTATGTTCCTTATTTACCATCAACCAGTGGTATGGCTATGACTGCTATCGGGCACAAGTATGAAGAACATGCTTCCGGGAACGGCAAGTCTTCGTACATTCCGATCCCTACTTCGCCTAGCGTAGAGGAAGCACCCCATGAGTCTGCGGAAACAGAACCCGAAGCAGTCGATGCCAGGTTAGTCCCCGATCCACCAGCGGAAAAGCGTGATCGTGGTGAACAAGCCTTGAGGCGGGAAGCAAAGTCGCTTGCACATTTATTGACACATGTTCCCAAGAACCCTTTTTGTACGACATGTTCAAGGGCTAAGATGACTAAGCCACCATCGTACAAGAAGGGAGGATCTGAAACTGTTGATGCTGACAAGTTTGGTGATCACATCACTGCTGATCATCTTATTCTTCGGGATGACGAAGAAGAGGCTATCGATGGTTCAAGAAACGCTCTAGTCGTTAAGGACATAGCTACGGACTTTAGATATGTATATCCGTCGGCTAGGAAAACGACTAGAGATTGTGTTCTTGCATTGAAGCACTTCACCCGGGGACGGGATGACATTGGTGTGTTCTATTCAGACAATGCAGAAGAGCTTGTCAAGGCAGCATCAGAATTGAAATGGAGACACGTTACAAGTGTTCCGTATATCTCCAAGAGTAATGCTCAAGCAGAGAGGAGTATTCGATCCGTTCTTGATGGAACTCGTATCAATCTTGAACAAGCGGGTTTACACCATACATACTGGACGCATGCCGCCAGACATTGTTGCATGGCGCACAACATACTCGGTGATCAGGAGTCTCAAACGCCATGGCAACTCAGGTTCGATGAGAAGTTCAAGGGACCAATGATTCCTTTTGGAGTGAGGATCGACTATTGGACCGGACCAAAAACCAAAACCAAAGAAAAATTGAAATTCGATCCTACCTCACTACCAGGAGTATTTTTGGGATACAAGATTCACCCTGAATTCTCATGGAGGAAAGAGTTCCTTGTTCTCCCTCTCAAAGAGGTGATGGACAACAACTTTGATAGTAGTGTGCCATGGGTTGGAACGAACAAACTCGCATTGCCTGATGGAGATTTTGTGTTTCCACTGAAGGACAGGTATAATGCTATCCGTGAGGGTCGCATTCCATGCTACATGATATCGGACGATCCTCCAAAGCCGGAAGATGAGGATGCTAAACCGGTGGAGGAGTTGATTGACAAAGGTCCGATGGAAAGTGGCAAAGCACTTAAAGTCCCTTCGACTGAGGGAATGGTTGATCATCCTAAGAAGGATGCGTTTGAGAGTGGGATTTATGATCCCGGTGAAGATGAAGAGGGCAAAGGAGGTTCCTCATCATCCTCATCCGGTAAGCCCAAAGATCCACCCAAGGATCCTTTCGAAGGCGTTCCACCTGAAGACATGGTTGAGGTTGTTGATCCTGTTACAGGTGAGGTGACCTCAATCCCAAAAGAGGGGTCATCATTCTACAGCGCGGGGGGATATAAAACTAGGAAATACAAAGGCACTTCCAAACCACCAGATGTTCCATCCTTTCTTTGGAAGGCCGCTTCGAAGGCAGCTCGTGAGAAAGAGATTAGAAGATACGAGCTTGAAGAAGCGAGAAAGAAGTTCAAAGCCGCTGCTGCAAAGGTCAACAATTTAAATACCAACGGTTCTTCTTCCCCGAGGAATCGGGTTGACCAA